ATTTATTATAACTAACCTGTGGTGTAAATACACACCAACTGGCATTACACTGGAATTACTGACATTACACTGGAATTACTGACATTACACTGGTATTACTGGTATTACTATAAAAAAGGCACGTAATGCGCAATACATGTACAAATTTTGGTTCAGTTGTTACCCCCTCGGTAATTCATGGTACAGATACCACTATTGAGACCAATTCAAACCAATAGAGCTGCCGCTGGAAAATCCCAAAAGCTTTTCTATTGGTCTTTATGGGTGATTTTTAACAGGGTTGTACTAAAAATTTTTTTGTTAAACTTAAAGAGTAAAAGTAAAATTTACTGTCAAAAGCCACATAAACTGTCAAATATGCTGTTATAAATTTGAAAATAATAATATTGAATTTCAAAATCATGTATTTTGTTCAGTGATCTAATAAGGGGGCATCCATTAATTACGCGAGGTGTTTATGGGGAGCCAAACCTCACCCAATCTCACGTGGGGGAAGGGTTTTCTCGCCAAATTTTTTCGAAAGAAACAGTGTAAAATTAAGTAAAAAATGTTTCTCCAATAAAATAGGATTAAATCATACTAAATCATACTAAATCGCTGTTTAATTATGCACTGAAAAATTTATTAACTATTAATAAATTCATTTATTATTCATTTATTAACTGTTAATAAAAATTCAATAAATAATCCAATTTAAAAAAGTTTGGAGCAACCAAAAGTGCACGACTCTATGTAATTAATAATACGCTAAAGAAGTATCGCTAGCAAAAGTAGAACTTTTAATAATCAGCTGTCAAACGCTTAGGTTACAAACCAGTGTTTTTGAGAATAAAGCCAGATAATGTTAAAAATATCGAAAAAAAAACGTGGATAGATTTGTTGTGTTGTTGGGTGTATTTCGAGAGGAAATCCTGGGTTGAGTTTTTACCGATTTTCCAATAAACAGTGTTAATCTGAATGAAGAAATAAATTGCATACAGTCTCTGTAAATATAAATTGTACCTATTAGATACAATAAATACACATTTTAGTAGTGATTAACGTGAAAAGTGTAAACATCTCAATTCAGTAAAAATCTTCAAACAAATAAGTAATACTCAAGTCGTCTAAATATAAACAGCATTTAGCATTATTAAAAGCGTTGATTAAGAATTCTTTAAAGTCTCTACTCAACGGTAAAATATCATTATATTATGTAGTATATATAATATTATGTTGCCATGAATTCGTAGGTATATTTTGTTGTTTAAAAACAGTTTTTTAGAAAACTAAAATATAAAAATACTTAAAGGTTATGTTTTGCAAAAATTATTTTTTACTAATTTATTAAAAATGTCCAAACTTAAATATAAATTATATTAGGTAAAGTTATCATTAGTTAATTCTGCACCAACAAATGTACTTACCGAATTGGATCCTTTGGCAAAACATGAAAATGCAACGATTTAGTTCTTGAATTTTATTTACAATTAAAAACACAATAATTCATCATGATCCCTTTGATAAAATACACACACTAACGTAACTATATAAGCATTTGAGCGTTGAGTTTCAATCAATGATATAAGGAATAATCAATCGAAATCGAGTACTTAAAAGTTTTTTAATTTTTTCCTTGCACAAATAAGGTGCGCGATTTAGCTGTGTAATTGAACAAAATTTGTCGAGTAAGACTTCTGCCTTCCCCTCTTTTGTAAAAAACTGCCTATTTATTTAAAAATGATGTACCTATAATCGGTGCTTTAAATTTATTGTTGACAATTCTTAAAGTCACGCAATGCATTCGAAGTCCACCATATGGCGCGCGCGTTTCGAAAACCCGATACTTCTTTAGCGTATAGTGGTAATTTGATAGTAAAAAAATATAAAATAAAATTTTTCTAAATGAAAAAAAAATATTTTTTTATTGTTCTATTAAAACTATGCATTTTAAAAATCTCAGGTAAGATTAAGGGAGGGGGGAGGGGGTCGAGTAAAATCTCTCTAATGGATGCCCCTTAAAAATAACTGTCAAAACATTTATAATACAATATTTAATAATAATAATAATAATAATAATAATAATCTTTATTAGTGCTAATACAATACAAATTGTTTACAACGTCAAAAAAAAAGAAGTAGAAAGAAAAGACTAATCTCAAATACATTAAAAAGTACAAACTTACATAATATAGGTAAATATATGATTAAAACCTTAAAACTGGTACTCAAAATACTCGTTTACAGAATAAAACCCGTTTTTTACAAATAAAGATTTTAGATATAACTTAAATCCCTTAAAAGCCATATTTTTTATGTTGATTGGAAGTTTGTTGTAAAATTTTATTCCGTTAAAATCTGGTCCAATTTGGCATTTATTGAGCCTGGAAAATTTATTCATAAGCTGATTTTTATTCCTTGAATTGTAGTCATGAAAACTATCATGGCTATGGTACAAATTCAAATTATTTATAACATAAAGTAAATTTTGAAGAATATATAAGGAGGGTACTGTTAGAATTCCAAGATTACTAAACATAGCCCTACAGTCGCCTCTGTAACCAAGGGAGGCGATGATCCTTATTACCTTGCGTTGAAGACCGAATATTTTATAACATTCCGCAGAGTGACCCCACACAATTAGAGCGTAAGATATATGTGACTCAAATAGCGAATAATATGCACTTAACATTACATCACTAGAGGCATTACCAACTAAGTTACGCATGACAAATATACTGGTGCTTAATTTTTTGGATAACGCATCAACATGGCAATTCCATCTTAATCTGTTGTCTAATAAGATTCCTAGAAATTTAACTGGTTTTAGTGGGTATCCATCATTTATAAGTCTTAAAGAAAAAATAAGATTTTGTGTTTTTTCTTTGTTTAAAACAAGTCTGTTACTGGTAAACCATAGCTCAGCCTCTGACAGTGCACGCTCGCTCTCTTCATTTAGTAGTTCAATATCTGAGTGTTTCTGTAAGAAGTGTTAAAATGTAAATGTAAAAAATGTAACATATGAGTCAAACCACGTCAAGTGGGACCAGAAATTTTCACGAAATCACCGATTTTGAAAATAATCACATTATTGTGTAGTAGGCATGACTCATATGTCACAGTAAAAAAATTGTTTTAAAATTCGTTTTTTTGGTAATGTTATTAAGGTTGACAATTTTGTCAAACTTTAGAGCACGGTAAAATTGAAAATATAGAATCTCTGGGACCACTCTGTATAATTGAATTAAATTTTACACACTATTGTAGAAATGTTTAGAGTATATAATGATCATTTAATTAAGGTTAATTTGTTTAAATAAAAGAATTTTGCTTACATTTATTATAAACAATTGAAATTTTGTATGTGTTCTTCACGCTGAAAAAAAATTAATCTTGTGTCATAATATGCGGCAAACGTTTCCGTTTAATAAGATGTACTCAAAAATTTGCCTTTCATATGTCATTCCGGAGATATTAATTTTTTTGTCCCGCTGTGCGCTTGATCAGTACGCGGCGCGCTTCGCTGCTAGCTCGTCAGCACACGGTGTGCCTGAACGAAGTTTAAGTCACATAAAAATTCCGCAGTTTCTTGTTCGGGACCCTTTGGTGACTTAAAAATGATATTTACCAAAATCCTAGCTGCTCCTCTTTTCGAAATTTTTTGAAAAATCTTTTTTCTGCATTATGCATTTTACTATATAAAAAAGTGATTTTTGTCTAACCCTGTATAAATCTAAGTTTCTCTCGTTTACAATATCGGTGTACAAATGTGTACTCTGGCAAAGGTAGACTTTGCTATAAACAAATAATTTTAAAAAAATTGAATTTTTTACAAATTAAAAAAAACAGAATTTTGGTAAATATATTTTTTAACTTCAACCAATTTTTCGTTCAAAATTGAAAACTACTAAAAAGCCTAAATTAAACAACATTTTAAATACTCTCTAAGCGTTATTTTATTAAATGTTAATACAAATCTATTTTTCTTGTAAAAGGTTAATAATAATGCCATTGTGTAACCTGATAGACCTAGAAATATCTAAAAAAAAATTGGGAATAAATATTTTTCGCGTGTTATGCTAAAATCATGAATTAACGCTTTTGCATTATTAAAAATAAGTGATTTTTGGCTAACCCTGTATATATCAAATGATGTGAACAGTATTAAAAAATATTCTCTAAGTCTCCTAAATAATATACTCCAATTTTATGAAAATCCGTGTGCAAATGTGTACTCTGTCAAAGAGATAAACAAAAATTTAAAAAAAAATCATGAATTTTCGAACAATTTCGAAAAGGGGAGCAGCTAGAACTTTGGTAAATATCATTTTTAAGTCACCAAAGGGTCCCGAACAAGAAACTACAATCAGTTTTTGGCGGCATTTTTATGTGACTTAAACTTCGTTCAGGCACACCGTTAAACCGTTCGAACGGACGAGCTAGCAGCGAAGCGCGCCGCGTACTGATCAAGCGCACAGCCGGACAAAAAAATTAATATCTCCGGAATGACAAATGAAAGGCAAATTTTTGAGTACATCTTATTAAACGGAAACGTTTGCCGCATATTATGACACAAGATTAATTTTTTTTCAGCGTGAAGAACACATACAAAATTTCAATTGTTTATAATAAATGTATGCAAAATTCTTTTATTTAAACAAATTAACCTTAATTAAATGATCATTATATACTCTAAACATTTCTACAATAGTGTGTAAAATTTAATTCAATTATACAGAGTGGTCCCAGAGATTCTATTTTTTCAATTTTACCCTGCTCTAAAGTTTGACAAAATTGTCAACCTTAATAACATCACCAAAAAAAACGAATTTTAAAACAATTTTTTTACTGTGACATATGAGTCATGCCTACTACACAATAATGTGATTATTTTCAAAATCGGTGATTTCGTGAAATTTTCTGGTCCCACTTGACGTGGTTTGACTCATATAAAAATAATAAATAAACAAAGGTTTTGTTACCCAGTAATTCAAGTATTAATGTTGTTTTTTGCCTTTCAGCGTGGCGGGCACGTTCGGCGCCATCGTCACCTGCCCCCTGGAGGTGGTGAAAACGCGACAGCAGTCGTCGCGCGGCGGCTTCCACGTCCCCGTCACCACGTCGCCAACCGTACCCGGCGACGGCGGCGAGCGCAAGACCACGTGCCGCACGGTGCCGCCGCCCGCGGCGCAGAGGCGTAGGTTGTGGACGAGCACAAAGTACAGCCGGCCTCAAGTTGTTGCGCTTTCAGGTTACGCGCCCCCGTCCCCGAAAGCTGCCGCCCCGCAGGCGCACCTGCCCCCCAACGCGCAGATGTCCAATTACACCATTACTCAGTGCATCAGGCATATTGTCAGATACGAGGGCCCCATGGCGTTGTTCAAAGGTACGCTTTGTTGGGTTTGTTCCTGCTAGAGTCCCGAGCTGACTAAAACAGCCAGGCGCATGCGCAGTAGTCCTAAACCCCGATGATTGTTTTGGATAGTTTGTTACTCTTGTAGGAACAAACCCAAACACGTTGCATTTTTGTGTGAAATTAAATAAAAATTAAAAATAAGTTTTATTAATAATAATTAAGTTTTCTCGCATTTTTTTCTATGGTTTTCTTGGATTATTGTTAGTATCACTATAGTATCGGGATGGGAAAACTATCAGTAATTACTGATAGTTATCAGTAAGGACAAATATTAATATCAGTAAGGTGGTGTTGTTACTGATAGTAATATTTCTACTGGAAGAAATTTTCAAGATAACTGTCAAAACCTTACTTTGTCAGAAAACAGAAAAAATGCATATTTAACATCAATTTTTTCTTCGGAAAATTAAATTCCTGACTTACCAATCCAGTATTTTAAGTTGTCTCATAGATGGAGCTAGATAATAACTAGCTTCATATGGATATTTATATATAAATAGATATCTATCTAACTTTAAAACTTCCCAGATACATCTGGTTATTTTGCATTTTTTCGGTATCTCGCGAGTTTTTCTAACCTTAATTAAAGAGGTCGGGGCAATAAGGGACCTAAGCCTCATTTTAAAAATATTAAGCAAGCAAAGTTTAAAGATAATGATTCAACCCTGGGATATAAAGGATATAAAGGATATAAAAGTTTAAAAATTCTTTTCTTTTTATATCAGGCTTTAAATAAACACAAACCGTGTTTACTTATTATTTTTTCAATGAGGAATAGGTCCCTTATTGCCCAGACCTCTTCAATTATAACTTATTAATAAGGTTTCTACAGTAAAAATTCTACCAGAATCTAGAAACTTTCTAGATTGCTTTATCTCCAAACGAGTGATTTTGTTGCTTTTTAAAAGTGTTAAAATTGGTATTTACTGATAGTTATCAGTAGAAATTTTTAGTGATAGTTCCCATCCCTACACGATACACAAAAACCGGTATGCTGATGCGCATGTGATAGCTATCTCTCGCATCGTGTGACGTCATGTGCGAACCAAAAGCTGGCGGATAACTGGGTTGGAATGTTATTTGCACTGCAAATTCGCGTTATATTCGAAAATTTATAAATAATGGGACGACCTGGGTGCAATTATTAAGTGTAACAAATGTTAAGAGAAAGTTAAATTGGCAGCAAGCGCTTTTTTACTAATGTAACATATTTTAATAAATAAAAATAAAATTAATTTCCTACCTTCCTATTATTATTTTTCAAACTATTTTTTATTTAATTGAATTAACTTAACTTACGCTAGACCAAATTTTACATTTTTTTAATGTGAAAGGTAACAAAATTATAAAAATGCAGTTATACAGGTAATAATAACGCACGCTCGCTTTAAAATTTCAAAAGTATCCAAAAAATCACAACACTGCATTTTTTACTTTGTGACACTTTTGAATCGGGTTTCCGATACAATGGTGTTTTAATTTTTATTATTAGTAAGAACTTATGCAAGCTATAAAAAAATATGTGGTTAGGGTAAAAAGTTACTATAAGTAGGTACCTAACAGAAAATTGGGTATACCAAAAATTGCCTTTACTTACCGTTTTTTATTTTTATTTTATCCTTTCTCTGTGCTGCCAGATCTTTATTTATTGGAAATCGAAAATATTTAATGTTAGGTTAGGTTGGGTGTTGGAGTTTCTGTTCATATTTCTGCTGTCTGCTACAGCACAGCCCGGCATATTTAAAATAGTTATTAAGTCCAACAAATATATATATATATATATATATATATATATATATATATATATATATATATATATATATATATATATATATATATATATATATATATATAAAACACCCGTGAATGGCTTATAAATACTTTGTAAATAGATATTACTGTTCAATAAATGCAGTACGTAAAACGTTGCAAAACCATAGTGCATGGCTTATACTTTAAAAAACACAATAATTTCGGAAAAAAATCGTAATTAAACACCCGTGTATAGCATATGCATATGCAAAACTGTTTGTAAAATTGAAATCTGGTTCGCACGTGACGTCACATGCGCAAAGTCGACGAGTTTCCGTTTCATTACCAGCATACCGGTTTTTGTATATCGTGGACAGATCAGTCCTTTATTTTTTAGGTTAAGTTTTCTCGCATTGTTTTTCTATAGTTTCTTGGATTATTTTTAGTATAAATATATAACTATGCAGTTCTTCTTTATTCGATACTTTTGATTCATTTAGGATTTAAAAGTGCTTTAATAGGTATGTTACCTTAAGATAAACTAAAAGCTTAAAGGCCACTTATTCTTTTTCAAATAATTTATGTAATTACTCGATTACTCGAGATATTTAAATTCAATGTGTTGCGACCAAAAAGTTCGTTCTTTTTCAAAACGATATAACTTTTTTGTTTTTTGAACGATTTTATTTTAGTCTGTGATGTCTGCTAGCCTCATCCTCTGGCAATTCATGCTATAGATATGAAGCTCACGGTTCGTCAAGTAAATTTCCTACAGGGTGATATGTTTAACGATGAAAAATTTCAATAACTTCATCCAAGCCCCGTTTGTAAAAAAATAATTTTTTTCTCGTTTTTATTTTGAAATAATGAAGTATTATGTGTTACCTTGAAACGTTTTTCAAGTTTTTCGAATTGGAATCTTAGCAACAACGATATGATTTTTTTTTCGGATTTTATTTAGACAGCCGGGAATTGTTTTCGAATTTTGATTGTTGGTGATTTTGGTTTTATCTGAAACTTAAATTTGACAACTGAATCACAATCAGGAGGTCAAAATTATAAAGAAAACATGTCACGAACGTAAATATCGGTTCAGGTTTAGTTTTCGCAAATTTTTACCAAAATGTCATTTTGAAAAAGTGGTCTTTACTTAGGTCCCTTTCAAAATAATGGAAGTTTGTTGCTTGACGCTTGTTCAGAATTATTCAAAGAACAATCTTTCACCATCTTATTTTCTTGTTCTTAAAAAGACTGAGTGTATTGCCTACCAAAAAGCCTTAAATGTACTCTATTGTAAAAAAAATCAGATTTTCGTTGCTAAGATTCCAATTCGAAAAATTTGAAAACCTTTTCAAGGTAAGACATACTTCTTCATTATTTCAAAGTAAAAACAAGAAAAAATATTTCTTTTTTCAAACGGGGCTTGGATGAAGTTATTGAAATTTTTCACCGTTTTACATATCACCCTGTAGGAAATTTACTTGAAGAACCTTAAGCTTCATATATATATATCCTGAATTGCCAGAGGATTGGGTTAGCAGACATCACAAACCAAAATAAAATTTAAGAAACAAAAAAGTTATGCCGTTTTGAAAAAGGACGAACTTTTTGGTCGCGACACATTGAGTGGTGCGCAGTTTATTTGCTTTTACTGCCCTATTGATCTTATAATGGTTTTATAATACTGTGGACATTAGGGTGTTTCATTTAAAACGACTATTTTTTGTTTTTCACCGAAATTTTGATTAGTACTTCCTTTTTCATTTTGAATTTTTTCCATTTAAAAAGCATGTATTTTCAAACACTTTTTTAAAATTTCTATATCTTTGCCGGGTTTTAAGCTTTCATATTGAGGTTCATTGTTGCTTGCTTAAATAATTTTTCCCTAGCTTGATTCACCTTGATATCAGCTCTGAAAGTCATTTGTTTTTACTTTTTTCACATATTTTTGAAAATATTAAGAGAATAGGTAGCTTGTTTTACCGAAAAATTAAAAAAAAAAAGTTGTAGAAAATTTAATTCTGAGTGTTACTTGGGCTGGAACTAACTTACAAGCAAATGTGCTACATGCATTTTAGATTTTAACCTCACGTCCTTAAAATTTAAAATTGTTTAACCTCGACCTCTCGTTGTAAATTTAGTATAGCGCATCAACGTATCTGTTTTATTTTGTTACAGTCTATTTGATTTACGCAGATGCATTCGAATTGATTGTGAAAATTTTGCAATATTTTATAAATTAATACATTTATACACACAAAAAACATAATATGAGATTTTGGAACTATGTTTCCAGAAGCCACCGCATGAGGCCGCTTTCGTCCACACTCCAAAAAAATGTTATTTGGTGGAATGACCCATATCAAACAAATTTATATACATCTCAAATGTCAAAGTGGGAGTCCCACTTGTAGAACATAGTATACATTTCCTATGTAACATTGATAACCAATAACTGACCACAACTGGTTATGAAAGGATATATTCAATTCTTATCAATAAAATAAACTAGATTGTCATGTTCTTACCAACAGATCAGTGAACTTGAAATACATATTGAGATATATTGCGATTTTATCACGTGTTTCTTGAATTTCAACAATGTCATGCTCAGTGCTGCCAGATGAACGGATTTATCCGTTTTTTACGGATTTTCCAGGTCTAGAGAAATTGGAAACGGATTTTGAACGGATTTTCATCAAATACGGATTTTTACGGATTTTTAAGATAGCTTCATACTAATACTAAAAAAACATCATTTTTGCCCCGTTTTTTGATCATCTTTGTCACGCTTCTATTCCTCTTCCTTTTTACTACGTTAGACAGAAAAAGAAAGCGGATTGAAAAAGGATGTGTTCTTAATATAGGGTTCTTAAACGCCGAATATATGCGAAACATATGCTTTTTCATTGAGTGTGACTAAGAGAACGATAGTTTCATATCATTTGTTAAGGTTTTATAACACGTTGTTATTGCTGCCAATATATAAGCGGCGCAATGCCACCAATAGTAACGACTAACCAATACTGACTCCAGTTCAGTGCATTGAACTGCATTGTGGCAATATTTTGATCTCAAAGTCAATGTTTATTATATATCCGAATCTGTATATAAAATACTTTATTTTGTGAAAAATGGAAAGTGACGAGAATTATATCACTGACGAAGAGGTTCAAACTTCTGAAACTCCCCCGAAAAATTCTGAGATGTTTCGGATTTTCTTTGACGAAAGGTATGTTTTGTCACGAAAATCCCCCTTATAGAAGAAATTTTTCGAAATTTAGACAAAAACGGATTTTTACGGATTTTTCGAGGCTTCCCCCCACCCTTTCCACGAATATATACGGATTATCCGACCATCTGCTCTGGCAGCACTGGTCATGCTGTCACTTAAAAAGTTGACATTTGTTTAGGGTCATTCCATCGTTTCGGGTGTTACATTTGTTTAACCAAAGTCTAAATTTTTATGTATTTTAAAATAACATTTTAGCTATTAAAGTGCCTTATACGTTTTTAGTTGTTTTATCTAAATTGTAAAATAAGTACAGTTTAGCATATAGGATAAAAGTGTGCGTTTCGGGTGTTTCACGATTCTGCCTCCAAGTCCTGACCATTGTTACATTTATTTGAAATTTTCTTCGGTAAACATTCCTAAAAATTACAGGCCTCCAAAAGTATAATATATATTTACTAACCATCTACCACATCACTGTCACAAATAACGTTTAATATTTTTTTATAAAATTTTACTTTGTTTCGGGTGTTACCATGGTTCTGTTTCGGGTGTTACACTTTATATGGACAAAATCGGTATTTTATTAGTCTCTAGGTACTACAAAATAAGTTAGTAACAAATAAACAAAATACAATATAATGAATTCTCCTTAAACATAACTTAACCAGCTTCGGGTGAGATTGATAAAATAATACTTATTGCATTATTTAAGCAATACACACACATATACCGACATAAGAAAAAAGTTGTAACACCCGGGTGTTAGTTTTTAATCAAGAAAAACACATGTCAAATTAGTCTCATGCTCAGATTTTAGTTAGTATTTTAAAACACCATAACGTTACTTTTACTAAATATTATTACACTAATCAATCTGTAAGGTATAATAATTAAACAATTAGGTACATGATTTTTCGTTTCCGGTGTTACAGTAGCAAAGTAACAAGAAAACAGACTTATAACGTGATAATTATCAATTTTCAGCCAGTTCACTTGTGTACAGATTTTGAAGACTAATTAACTTAAAAATTACGCGTTTCTTCTAGTTTTTTTTGTCGCACATTAAAATTTGGAATGTTTACTTTCAAAATTCATCAGATTTAATGCAAAAAGAACATCATTATTTTTTCACCCTCAGTATCATTTGAATTGGCTTGTTTATAAGCAAGGGAAACGTCAAAAGGACATCTTGTGATGAGGGCTTGCTGTAAAATCTGTATCTAGCGTTTCTTCCTTTCTTCCAGGCCTGATACCGAATCTAGTTGGCGTGGCTCCGTCCAGGGCCGTCTATTTTTGCACGTACTCGCAAGCGAAGCAGTTCTGGAACGGGCTGCTGCCTCCAGATTCGCCGATAGTTCACGTTTGCTCCGCATCGTGCGCGGGGTTCATGGCGTGCACGCTCACCAATCCGATTTGGTTCGTGAAGACGCGCTTGCAGCTCGATCTCAACAAAGACAGGAAGATGTCGGCCATGCAGTGCGTGCAGAGGATCTACGCCAAATCGGTAGGTACAAAATTGGATTATGTTGGGTTTTAAATTAAACATAATCCCACTTCTGATGTTTACATGAATTTTGGCGATTTTGAGTTATCTAGTTTTAAATTAAGTAGAGAGCAAGTAGAGTTGAATGCAAGAACTAGGGAACTTGTGTGTCTCTTACACTACAAAAATAAACTTTTTTTGAAAATAATGAAAAAAAATAAAATCATTGATTTCAAAATTGGATTATGTTGGATTTTAAACAAACATAATCCCACTTCTGATGTTAACATGAATTTTGTCGATTTTAAGTTATCTAGTTTGAAATCAAGTAGAGAGCAAGTAGAGTTGAATGCATGAGCCAGGGAACTTCTGAAATTAATCTGGAAAGTCTCTTCCAATACAAAAATAAACTTTTTGAAAATAATAAAAAAAAATCATTGATTTCAAAATTGGATTATTTTGGATTTTAATCAAACATAATCCCACTTTTGATGTTTACATGATCTTTGTCGATTTTGAGTTATCTAGTTTGAAATCAAGTAGAGAGCAAGTAAAGTTGAATGCAAGAACTAGGGAACTTCTGAAATTAATCTGGAAAGTCTCTTACAATACAAAAATAAACTTTTATGAAAATAATGAAAAAAATAAAATTATTGATTTCAAAATTGGATTAAATTGTATTTTAAATCAAACATAATCCCACTTCTGATATTTACATGAATTTTGGCGATTTTGAGTTATCTAGTTTGAAATCAAGTAGAGAGCAAGTAAAGTTGAATGCAGGACTAGATAACTTGTGAAAGTTATCTGGAGTCTCTTACACTACAAAAATTACCTTTTTATGTAAACAGTGAAAAAAAAATAAAATCATTCATTTCAAAATTGGATTATGACGATTTTGAGTTATCTGGTTTAAAATCAAGTAGGGAGCAAGTAGAGTTGAATGAAAGAACTAGAGTCTTTTACACTACAAAAATAAACTCTTTTTGAAAAAAAAATGAAAAATAATAAAATCATTGATTTCAAAATTGGATTATGTTGGATTTTAAACAAACATAATCCCACTTCTGATGTTAACATGAATTTTGTCGATTTTAAGTTATCTAGTTTGAAATCAAGTAGAGAGCAAGTAGAGTTGAATGCATGAGCCAGGGAACTTCTGAAATTAATCTGGAAAGTCTCTTCCAATATAAAAATAAACTTTTTTGAAAATAATAAAAAAAAAAAAAAAATCAGGGCAGGAAGACGAAAGTCGTTAGCCTTTTGGATTTCCAATAAAGTTTATTATTATTATTATTAAAAAAAAATCATTGATTTCAAAATTGGATTATTTTGGATTTTAATCAAACATAATCCCACTTTTAATGTTTACATGATCTTTGTCGATTTTGAGTTATCTAGTTTGAAATCAAGTAGAGAGCAAGTAAAGTTGAATGCAAGAACTAGGGAACTTCTGAAATTAATCTGAAGAGTCTCTTACAATACAAAAATAAACTTTTTTTGAAAATAATGAAAAAAATAAAATTATTGATTTCAAAATTGGATTAAATTGTATTTTAAATCAAACATAACCCCACTTCTGATGTTTACATGAATTTTGGCGATTTTGAGTTATCTAGTTTGAAATCAAGTAGAGAGCAAGTAAAGTTGAATGCAGGACTAGATAACTTGTGAAAATTATCTGGAGTCTCTTACACTACAAAAATTACCTTTTTATGTAAACAGTGAAAAAAAATAAAATCATTCATTTCAAAATTGGATTATGTTGGATTTTAAATCAAACATAATCCCACTTCTGATGTTTACATGAATTATGACGATTGTGAGTTATCTGGTTTAAAATCAAGTAGGGAGCAAGTAGAGTTGAATGAAAGAACTAGGGAACTTCTGAAATTAATCTGAAGAGTGTTTTACACTACAAAAATAAACTCTTTTTGAAAAAAAATGAAAAATAATAAAATCATTGATTTCAAAATTGGATTATGTTGGATTTTAAATCAAAGATTATCCCACTTCTGATGTTTACATTAATTTTGTCGATTTTGAGTTATCTAGTTTGAAATCAAGTAGAGAGCAAGTAAAGTTTAATGCAAGAACTAGAATCTAAAGAGTCTCTTACACTACAAAAATAAACTTTTTTTGAAAATAATGAAAAAAAATAAAATCATTGATTTCAAAATTGGATTATGTTGGATTTTAAACAAACATAATCCCACTTCTGATGTTAACATGAATTTTGTCGATTTTAAATTATCTAGTTTGAAATCAAGTAGAGTTGAATGCATGAGCCAGGGAACTTCTGAAATTAATCTGGAAAGTCTCTTCCAATACAAAAATAAACTTTTTTTGAAAATAATAAAAAAAAATCATTGATTTCAAAATTGGATTATTTTGGATTTTAATCAAACATAATCCCACTTTTGATGTTTACATGATCTTTGTCGATTTTGAGTTATCTAGTTTGAAATCAAGTAGAGAGCAAGTAAAGTTGAATGCAAGAACTAGGGAACTTCTGAAATTAATCTGAAGAGTCTCTTACAATACAAAAATAAACTTTTTTTGAAAATAATGAAAAAAATAAAATTATTGATTTCAAAATTGGATTAAATTGTATTTTAAATCAAACATAACCCCACTTCTGATGTTTACATGAATTTTGGCGATTTTGAGTTATCTAGTTTGAAATCAAGTAGAGAGCAAGTAAAGTTGAATGCAGGACTAGATAAACATAAAATAAAATCATTCATTTTAAAATTGGATTATGTTGGATTTTAAATCAAACATAATCCCACTTCTGATGTTTACATGAATTATGACGATTGTGAGTTATCTGGTTTAAAATCAAGTAGGGAGCAAGTAGAGTTGAATGAAAGAACTAGGGAACTTCTGAAATTAATCTGAAGAGTCTTTTACACTACAAAAATAAACTCTTTTTGAAAAAAAATTAAAAATAATAAAATCATTGATTTCAAAATTGGATTATGTTGGATTTTAAATCAAAGATTATCCCACTTCTGATGTTTACATTAATTTTGTCGATTTTGAGTTATCTAGTTTGAAATCAAGTAGAGAGCAAGTAAAGTTTAATGCAAGAACTAGAATCTAAAGAGTCTCTTACACTACAAAAATAAACTTTTTTTGAAAATAATGAAAAAAAATAAAATCATTGATTTCAAAATTGGATTATGTTGGATTTTAAACAAACATAATCCCACTTCTGATGTTAACATGAATTTTGTCGATTTTAAGTTATCTAGTTTGAAATCAAGTAGAGTTGAATGCATGAGCCAGGAAACTTCTGAAATTAATCTGGAAAGTCTCTTCCAATACAAAAATAAACTTTTTTTGAAAATAATAAAAAAAAATCATTGATTTCAAAATTGGATTATTTTGGATTTTAATCAAACATAATCCCACTTTTGATGTTTACATGATCTTTGTCGATTTTGAGTTATCTAGTTTGAAATCAAGTAGAGAGCAAGTAAAGTTGAATGCAAGAACTAGGGAACTTCTGAAATTAATCTGAAGAGTCTCTTACAATACAAAAATAAACTTTTTTTGAAAATAATGAAAAAAATAAAATCATTGATTTCAAAATTGGATTATGTTGGATTTTAAATCAAACATAATCCCACTTCTGATGTTTACATGAATTATGACGATTGTGAGTTATCTGGTTTAAAATCAAGTAGGGAGCAAGTAGAGTTGAATGAAAGAACTAGGGAACTTCTGAAATTAATCTGAAGAGTCTTTTACACTACAAAAATAAACTCTTTTTGAAAAAAAATGAAAAATAATAAAATCATTGATTTCAAAATTGGATTATGTTGGATTTTAAATCAAAGATTATCCCACTTCTGATGTTTACATTAATTTTGTCGATTTTGAGTTATCTAGTTTGAAATCAAGTAGAGTAAAGTTTAATGCAAGAACTAGAATCTAAAGAGTCTCTTACACTACAAAAATAAACTTTTTTTGAAAATAATGAAAAAAAATAAAATCATTGATTTCAAAATTGGATTATGTTGGATTTTAAACAAACATAATCCCACTTCTGATGTTAACATGAATTTTGTCGATTTTAAGTTATCTAGTTTGAAATCAAGTAGAGAGCAAGTAGAGTTGAATGCATGAGCCAGGGAACTTCTGAAATTAATCTGGAAAGTCTCTTCCAATATAAAAATAAACTTTTTTTGAAAATAATAAAAAAAAATCATTGATTTCAAAATTGGATTATTTTGGATTTTAATCAAACATAATCCCACTTTTGATGTTTACATGATCTTTGTCGATTTTGAGTTATCTAGTTTGAAATCAAGTAGAGAGCAAGTAAAGTTGAATGCAAGAACTAGGGAACTTCTGAAATTAATCTGGAAAGTCTCTTACAATACAAAAATAAACTTTTATGAAAATAATGAAAAAAATAAAATTATTGATTTCAAAATTGGATTAAATTGTATTTTAAATCAAACATAATCCCACTTCTGATATTTACATGAATTTTGGCGATTTTGAGTTATCTAGTTTGAAATCAAGTAGAGAGCAAGTAAAGTTGAATGCAGGACTAGATAACTTGTGAAAGTTATCTGGAGTCTCTTACACTACAAAAATTACCTTTTTATGTAAACAGTGAAAAAAAAATAAAATCATTCATTTCAAAATTGGATTATGACGATTTTGAGTTATCTGGTTTAAAATCAAGTAGGGAGCAAGTAGAGTTGAATGAAAGAACTAGAGTCTTTTACACTACAAAAATAAACTCTTTTTGAAAAAAAAATGAAAAATAATAAAATCATTGATTTCAAAATTGGATTATGTTGGATTTTAAATCGAACATAATCCCAATTTTGATGTTCACCTGAATTTTGGCGATTTTGAGTTATCTAATTTGAATTCAAGTAGAGAGCAAGTAAAGTTGAATGCAAGAACCAGGAAACTTGTGAATGTTATCTGGAGAGTCTCATAAAAAAAAATTATTCGACCAAGTTGTTTGCCAAACGATAACTTTAATATAAAAAATAATGGGTTGTAATTTTTCGCACTTAAAATCAGATACAAGAGCAGGCTTTAAGGTGATTTTTTAGGGTTATTCGTATAAGGAACTTGACTATATAGTTAATTTGTTGCTTAGTACATTTTGCAAGCGTTGTAAAATATGATATGCAAATTCTTGGTATACTTCCTATTAAGTCTCTACCCACTGCCTGTCTATAGTATACAACTTGCAGCAAACCTGTTTTGTTTATGGCATAGTAAAACTAATCAAAAATATAAAAATGTTAACGGGAAATTTATTTTATTGCATTTTAGTAATTTATTTTTAAAATATCTATTAATATGTTAATTACTATAAAATGTATAAAAAAACAAATATTATTTTTGTTGTATTTTTTAAATTAATGTTCTAATATATGTACATGTATAATTATTGACATGTTTGCATAAATTTAAGAAAATACTTTAAAATTTAAATATTTAAGAAAATACTAACTAAATTAAAGGTATCCACACATTTAATTATAGCAATATTATGCAACATAATAGATAATAAACTAAACGAACATAAATATGAATGAACGTTTTACATGATATGACCCTAAATAATAAATCTACTGTACTGCAAGATAAAACAAACAATAAATTGCGCGCTAAAATGATATTTGATTTGCATTTTATACTGAAAATAGCAAAACAAGTTTAAAATTTAAGACGCATTATTCGGCGTGCTATTTTTAGCGGAACAATTAAAAACAAAATTCTTATCATAACAAGATAAAATTGTTTTTTTCGCTGTATTGTTATACTAGAGATTTTTTGTTTAATTTAAACTAGTTAGGCATGTTTTTCAAAACAAATACATTTTTTTGTTACAAGGATTTAAGCGATCGGCCATTTCAAGCGGATGGACGGGACAAATCACAAAACTGTTTTTATAAAAAAAATTGTAGCTAATTTATTATATATTATTTTTGCATCAAAATTGTCAAAAAAATTCTTCCATTATAAGGGTATACATTAAATAAAAAAATCGCAAGAAATATTTTATAAAAGTAGAGATAATTTCAATAATTGACAGGGATAGATGGGACAAGATAAATCTTTTTTTTGTCCCGTCCACACCTTTCAATTACTAAAATTATATCTACTTTCATAAAATATTTCTTGAGTTTTTTTTTATTTAATGTATAACCTAATAAAAGAAGAATATTTTTGCCAATTTTGATGCCAAAATATTATATAATAAATAATCTACAATTTTTTTTATAAAAACAGTTTTGTAATTCGTGCGTTTTGCGCGCTTGAAATGGCAGCGATGTTAGAATAAAAAAACAGAAACAATATTTATTATGTAGTTTTGGTTAATTCCATCTCAAATCGACCAGGCAAAAAGGAAAATGGTCTTAACTTTTTATTTTTTAATAAAACACCCAATGCATTTTACATAATTTGATTCAAAATAAAATTCTGAATACATATATGTCATTTATCAATTTTTGACAGGTCAAATCATTGTTTTGATTAAATTTTATTTCTATATCAGAATGCCTTGTCGTCTGGAAAAAATACAATTTTATTTTTTTAGCAATGCTGGTTTTTAGGATCATTTAAAAATTTAAAAACCATACTTTATGCCAAAACTATTTTTTTTCACAAAAGAAATCCACCTTTTTAAATTTGATACCAAACATTAATGAATTTTAATGCTTTTAAATTTGAATGTTTATTAGGTTTTAAAGTGTATATAGAAGTAAATAAATAAATAAGGCTTTGAAACCTTTGTGTTTAAAATAAGTATCAGATTTGACAGTTAATTAGTTTGTTTTGCTGATTAGGTTGTTTTGCTGGTAAGTGAATATTTATATTTTATTTTATTATGAAAACGCTAAAACTTTTCATAAAATAAAAATAATAATTGAGGTGGTTAGCATCAAAGGGGTGTAAGTAATTGCTCAACATTTTTTGGTTTTAAATCTACTAAATAAAATCATTCTAATATTTTGAAACGATTATAAAAAGTTATATCTAATCGCCCCATAGTGTGGCCATTGTAGGAAATCTGTCAATAAACAAAAAACGAAATTTGAAATTAATTAAAAATTTGTTATTTCTAAACATATTTAACCTGCGCATTAGTTTCTGTAGGCTTAATATTTATTTCCCTTCCTGATAGAGCCTCAGTCAAAAAGAGTTTCGCGACTGCTTCACTAATATCTGTTAACCGACAAAAAAATTTCGGAATTGTTTGTGGTCTACATTTCTTCGAAATCCTGTGCATTCGATTTATTACTTTTAGGTTTATAATAGGTACTTACTTTATTTTATATTAACCAAAATTAACTTACGTATACTTTGTACATCTTTTAAAAGTAACACAGGCAAAAGTATTAACAATTTACATTTTATGCTAAAATATTCAATAATTTAATTTACTTACCTAAGAGCATTTCCGGTGAAACCGAAAGTGACAAAAATATGTTAAATATGTTAAAAAGTTCTAAATAACACTTTATAAAGGTCACCCCAGTTTTATGACCCTAGATAAAATACCAAATTTTTGCTATGAACTACGAATTTACTAGAATTCAAAAAATAATAATTCCGAAACGACGTATTTAACCAACTCGGGAACTTGGTTAAAGTTGTTCATATTATCAACTTTAAACGGAAAAAAAATATTAAGTAAAAAAAAATGTGGCAATGTCAAAATTTTGACCTCAATATTGTTTTGCCTTTTTTAGAAAAAACAATTGAAAAAATGTTGAGTGAATTCATTTAATTTTTTATATATTTTTTTGTATGTAGTAAACATTCCCCTGAAAAATAGCGACCTACCCCTTTTTGCCTGCTCGATTTGAGATGGAAAGACCCTAATACATATGGATGTCGCGATGTCGTTATATAATAAATAGATTCAATATTATCTCCAAACCTAACACTCCCTACAAAGATGTATTTTTCCAGGGAATCCTAGGCTTCTATAAAGGCATAACCGCCTCGTACATGGGCATTTCGGAAACGATAGTCCACTTTGTCATCTACGAGGCCATTAAAGCCGAACTGATGGCAAATCGCTCTCAGGATCGCGACGAACGTTCCAGCAAAGACTTTTTGGAGTTTATGCTCGCAGGGGCCATCTCGAAAACGGTAGCCTCCTGCATAGCGTACCCTCACGAGGTGGCCCGCACCAGGCTACGGGAGGAGGGCTCCAAGTACACAGGTAAGCGAAACTATTGAAACATAAAGGATGAGTAAATATCATGTTTGTCCACCCTATCGTTTACTATTCGTTAAACTTTCATTTGATACCCATGACAAGGTTTTGAAGAATTTTCATCTCTCTTACTTCTGCGCGGCCACCACTTTCTTACGCCCCATCTCCTTCTCCATAATATCTACATGACTTACGTTAAGCAAAGCCACAGCACAGATTTTTACTTACCCTTTATTAAAAATGAATGCGGAAGTTCCGCAACATAACTTGATACGGAAGTGCCGCGGTTGCGAACATCTGCTACATTGCAAATTTTTGTTTTCGTTTTTGTATGAGTAAACTTTTTGTGCAGGATTTTGGCAGACGCTAGCGCTTGTTTTTAAAGAGGAAGGCGTCAAAGGCGTGTACAGGGGGTTAACGACTCAGCTGGTCAGGCAGATTCCCAACACTGCCATCATGATGTCGACCTACGAAGCTGTAGTGTACATTTTAACCACCAGATTCAATACAGAGTTCTACAGCAAAGAAGAGCATTGAGTTTGTTAGCGCGTTGTTGAGTCTTTTTATAGAGGGTTTAGATGATTTTATTAAAGCGGTTGAAAGACGTGTTTTCAGTTGGTTAGTTCTTGGTCTACGAGATGCAAATTTGATTGATAAAATGGCGCCAAATTTTTGACATGCGCGCATGCGGAATTGTATGCGTATGTTATATTAAAGTTACAGGATGGGGATGCTAAAATTAATGCGGAAGTTCCGTAACATTCTTAATGCGGAAGTGCCGCGGTTGCGAACATCTGCAACATTGCTAATTTTTGTCTTGTTACAATTTACGATATTATCAACAGAAATATATATGCGGAAGTTCCGCAACATACCGTGATGCTTATTTAGGTTGATGCAGATGCTAAAATATTACAATTTCCGAACTTATCAACATAAATATATGTACAGGGTTGAAAATAATCGAAAAACCACCTATATATTTCCTAGTTGCAAAGTTTTAAACCCTATATATTACCATATAAAAAATACATCAAATAAAATTTAAAGCAGTTTTTAGCCAAAATATAAACAATTGACATACTATAGCTTTATATTTAACAATTTTTTAAAACCTTCCTATAAAAGACATATATATATAAGGGTCATTCCAACAAATAAATTTTTTTTGCGGTGACACCCGCGGATTTTTTTATGAATAACGTTTGTTTTTTTTTAATTTGAGGGTCCTTTGTTAAAATGAATATTTTCATTGGAAAGCTGAGAAATTAAAAAAAACTACTGTTTGTATTTTTATAGAACATTTACATAAAAAAATTAAGTAAGTTAGAATTTTGAAAAAATATGCGGGGCCACCCCAAAAAACTATTTGGTGGAATGACCCATATATTTAGTAGTAAATTATGAGAAATGTACAAAGTACATTTGATAGTATAGCTGTTCTTTGCTGATAAATAGTTTTTTTTTACTTGTTAATGTAAATACAGGGTCAAATTTTAAACAAATACTACACCAAAAATGGTAGATCTGTTATGTATATTTCGTTATAAAAATATAAGAAACTTAGTTACTTTTAGGTAATTATAGTGAGATTTTTCCTATTTTTATGTAAATACATAGGTACTACTTATTTGATATACGGTTTTGTATCAAATAGAGATTTATTTGAACAACTTTCTTTAAAACTAAGCACAATTATTAAACTAAATAAAATACTTCAGTATTATGTGTTAGGTAAACTTTATTATTTTTGTAATAATTTAAATTTTTCCACACTTGTTTTTGATATTATTGTGTTAATTTTAATGGAATTGTTCTGGTCATGATTGGGTTTATGAGTCAATAGATACGTTTGTACGCACAAAAGGCCCAAATGTATTTTTTTTTAATTATTATTATTATTATTATATTGAAAAACCTGAGTGTGATTTAATTTAGGGATATATTTTGTTAGTTATTGTATATTGCTGTATATAGCCTGTTAATAAAAACGATTTTGAATAAACGTTGGTTTTGTTTAACACCAAAGCATTGAGTTTACTCAATGACCAAAGGTTTTAAATATAGTAGTGTCCTGTTCAATGAATTTAAGGTAGGTACACTCCTTAAAATATGGGTCAAATAAAATCAAAAATTGTTTGTAATGAATTCAATTTATTAAAACAATTTTATATATATTTATACATAAATATATATTTCAACTTTAATGGTGTACTGTATTAAATATAAAACCGAAAAATCAATTGTGGTAAGAAGGTTAATAAAACTTAATTACTATATCAAACAAAACATAACAAATAATTTTTCCAAACTACAAAATGAAACATTCGATTTTGGCACATTGGACATTGATACAAGTTAGAACTATATATGGGCCAAATTTGAAGCCATTTCATTTTGCAGTAGACTAGAAGCATCACTAACAAATAAGTCTTTCATTTTTAAACAGTGGTGTTCCATATTTAGATCCTAAAGTTACAAGAAAAAGAATATCCACCCATATTAAAGAGATAATAAAGAAAATTATTCTATATGTAGATAAAGATATTAGCAGTATAACAATTTTAGATTTACAATTTAAATAATAAAGTTTGTACTTATATACCATAGGTTCGAAAATATCAAGCAGATCTATGTATGTAGGAGTATCTGAAATAAATCAGTTGCATCTCAAACAAACAATTATTTTATTCGACAAAATCCTCGAAAAATATGATTTCTTGGGCAAGCATTTTTAATTGAAAATAAGGGATCTATACACAAGGCACTCTAGTATATCTATAGCACAACTAGATTTTAGAATTTAAAATGTCTATATTGTTTGAGAAACAACCAAAAACGGACAAGGATTGTCTAAAAATCGTAGGAGAGCTGGCTGCCTGTTCTTGTATCACTAAAGGCTAGGAAGAAAAAAAACCGAAAAGAATGGAATGTAATGTTATAAAATAAGCACGTAACACGATTTTTTAGTCTGTAAGCTTTTTTGAAACCATAATTACAATTTTAAAAATTCGACCCAAAACACGAGTTTATAGTAAATACAGGGTGTTATGAAAACCACGCTGTCAATTATATGATATTAATCAGTACGTCAATTGAAACATTTGCTTGATACTTTTTTCCCAACTCTTCTTAAATGTAAAAAACGGTTAAAATAACAATTTAAATGCTATTTGGCAACACAGCATGACGATCAGAAACCTAACCTCAATTCTACTAAAAGTGATCCAACGTTGTCGAATTTATATTTGTTTCGATATTATAGGTAATCGGCCATTTCAAGCATACGGACGGAGAAAATCACAATACTGTTTTTATAAAAAAAATTGTCAAATATATTCTTTTATTAGGCTATAGGTACATTAAATAAAAAACCGCAATATATTTTTTTAAAGTAAAGATAATTTTAATAATTGACAGGTGTGGACAAGATAAATCTTTTTTTGTCCCGTCCGCACCTTTCAATTATTAAAATGATCTCTACTCTCATATTTATTAAATAAAAAAACGCAATATATTTTTTTAAAGTAAAGATAATTTTAATAATTGACAGGTGTGGACAAGATAAATCTTTTTTTGTCCCGTCCGCACCTTTCAATTATTAAAATGATCTCTACTCTCATATTTAATGCATAGCCTAATAAAATAAGAATATTTTTGACAATTTTGATGCCAAAATATTTTATAATAAATTATTATGGCCGTAATATTAAGTTAAATAAAATAAAGAACCAGTTAAGTTAAAATGCATTTTGACATTTCTTGCTCCAAATGACTTACTGAATAATGATTTACTATTGTGTTCTTCCATATAGAGTTGAAAACAGTTTTTTTTAACGAAAAATCCAGACTAAAAAATGTTGATCAAAAATTCCCAAACGGCTAGGATTTTGGATGTTATTCCTGGTTGTTTAAAGGGTAAAATGTACAATTTCTGTCTTTTTTAAAAATAAATCGTGATCACGTTTCCAAAAAAAGTGTTAAAACAAAAAATGTTGAGTTTTAAATTTCAATCATTTTTGAGCATTTTTTCGTATTCCTGGAGCCATCGTTGCCATATTTCTAGCGGAGAATGAACCCAACTTCGAGCCGCTGTAACTCGGAAACGGTTGTCGAAACAATTTTAACACCCTGTATATTTTTTGTAGAAATTTTCGTGATCTACAACTTTTTCTTTAGCATTTTTTGTTTTAACCAATTTTCCCAGGTAGCACAACGTGACGAAACCGTGACGATTTGTGTCCATTGGGTCCAATTGTACACAAATCGTCACGGTTTCGTCACGTTGTGCTACCTGGGTTAGAGGGTCAAAACATAAAAAAAAACTAATTTTTGTTGATTTGCCTGAAATAAAATATGCTAAATATTTTAAGCTCTACAGACAGGAACGACATCCAAAATATAGCCAAGTCGGAATTAAATTTTAATTGTTTTGTATTTTTTAGATATATGCTTTATTTATTTATATTATCTTACCCTGAAACCCAACACTTTTTTAATTTAGCATTCTTTACATCACCATCTGTGTATTTATTTTTTATTGCAGGCATTAAAATTGTGGCCTGGATTTTACAAGGGTTTAGATATATTTTTGTTTTCGCGATTTTAACAAAATTATACTTAGAACCTTATAAAACTCACGCGGAAATATAAATCACCGAAATATAATCAAATATTTGGCGAGGAACATAAACAGTTACTTGTCGACTAAAGGCACAAGCATATATCACAAAATTTATTGTTTTTTTTTGTTGATTTCGAAAATATGTAGCACCCAAAATAAAAAATTACACGCAAACATCACAATTTATTTATTTGTTGTTTTACATTTCGAAGTCGCATTTTCAACAAACTGAAAGCTTCATAGGGGGCGCGCTAGTTTAGGAAAATAAAAAATATACAACCTACATCTCGAAAATTTGCACGCGGAGACTTTAAAGGGACGGGCGCATTAAATCAAAAAATGTTTTTGTAGGTGCCGACAAAGTTTTTTCATTTAAATCTTGAATGAAAAATGCATGGTAGGTACTTGAAATTTACAGTAAAATCAAAACAATGAACATAACCAATTATTCAAAATCAAGTTAAAATAGGAGAACAAAATAAACTTGACAGTTTTGAAGGCGTACTTTTAAAGGGGCGTGTTTGGCATCATTTTAACTAATTTTAGCGATAAAAAGCAAAAATGGGAATTCATAGGACAAAATGTAATGTTTTAGGCATTTTTTTAAATATTAAAAAAATGCAAATATTATAAACGAAAATTATTATTTTTATTATTAACTAACTACTGTTTTATGTGGGGGTGAAGTTTTAAAAACTAATTTTTAAATAATTATAAATAAATTAGTAGTGAAATGTTTTTACCTAAACTTGAATTATAGAAAATCACCAATTATTCTTTTTCGAGTTAAATTATTAAAACCCCAATTATACTTGGAAAACTTGCTGTTATTCTATAACTTAATTTATAAATTAATAATAAAATATACAAAATCTAATATTTAAAATTTTAAACTTAATTAATTTTAAGTTGGACTATTTTTTTATAGGTCTAATTTCAAAAAGTAATCCTAAGTAATTTTTTATAACAACCATAATATAAATAGTAATCTACTGGAACAATTTAGAACAATAAATATTTAAAATATAATATTATCATAATAAATATACTACAAACTAAAATATAATCGTTAAATAATTTCGAAAACTTTGGAATTTCTTAAAGTGTTATTTTGTTAAATTGTTTTACTAACCTAAAGAAATTATTCATAGAATTATCACTATTTAAATAGAAAGACTAACTAAACTAAATAAATGACTTTGTATTCAAAGAAAATGAAACAAAAAAATTAAAATGATGCCAAGTATTTCCCCGAAAAAATCACCTTTTAAACTGTGTTCTGTATGTATCAAAGTAGATTTTTTAGTATTAATCTTTGTCGCCTACAAAATTAAAAAAAATTATAGGATTTGAAAACACGTTAATTACCGTACTTCATTCCAAAAAGATATGTAAAAATTTATTATTATTATTATTAATATTATTATTATTGCCAAAACTTAACCCCACCGTTCAAATCCGATAAAAAAGCTCTCGTCCCTTTATCACAAGTTTTTTTCCATTTCGCCTTGAAAACTTTCGAGATTTAATTTTTATTTAACTAGGTAGTTAATGAACAGCAAAGGTGGTTGTGAAAGGTGTTTGTTTTAGTTATTGTAGAGTGGATAAAAATATCGTTTTTTTATTCACAAAGCCGATTTCATTTTCCTAAAGGTTCCCGATTCGTCATCTCACCGGTCTTGCGGTATGCGCATGCCCCGCAAAACTTTACTTTGCTGGAAAAAAATTGCAAAATATTTAAAAATTGTTTGTAATATTTGCTAAATTGTTAAAAAACATCAAAGATAAATGAAAAATAAAAAAGTTAAAAAAAACAAGTCATTAAAAAGCAAAACAAATGATTAGTCGAAAAAACTTAAAAGTAAAAAACAGTAAAATAAATTATAAAATTTTATTTTTATGTCCTAAATAAGAATAGATAGAAAAATATTTTAGAACCATCAAAAAATAGAATTTAAAAAAGGCAAATAGTTAGAAAAAATAGTTTTTTGTCCCAAATAAGGATAAATAGATAAATATTTTAGGACAACCCATTTAAAAAAAAGCAATTGAAACATAGTTAAAAAATGTTATAAAAAACAAGAAACCGAGAAAAAGTAAAAAAAGAAAAAATAAATAATATAAGTCAAAACAGTCAAATAGAGAAACATTTAGGACAACCATTATAAAAATAGAAATTAAAAAAGTTATAAAAAAGCAAACAAACAAAGTTGAAAAAGATACAAAATAACTAAAAAGTCACAATAGTTTGAAAGATCATAAATTTTTGTTTTAGTGTCCTAAATAAGGAAATATTTTAGGACAACCAATTTTGAAATTAGAAATTAAAGAAAGTTTAAAAAAAGCAAAAAAATAAGAAACTGTTAAAAAAGAAAAAATTACTAAAAAGTAAAAAAAAAACATTTTAAAAATTAAAAAATTAAAACAAGTATAAATCATTAAGTTATAAAAAACAAAAAAAACAAGAAACTGATAAAAAGTAAAATAGAGAAATATTTAAAAAAAATAGAAATTAAAAAAAGTTATATAAAAAGCAAAAAAACCAATAACTAAAAAGTCAAAAAAGTAAAAAGCAGTTTAAAGAATTATAAAAAAGTATGTCCCAAATAAGATTTGTAAGGAAAATATTTTAGGAGAACCCATTCTAAAAATGAAAATTTAAAAGTTATAAAAAAGCAAAAAAGAAACAAGAAAAAGTCAAAAAAGAAAAACAATAACCATTTGCAAATGTTGTTTTTGTGTCCTAAATTAGGATAGATAGAAAAATATATTAGTTATAAAAAAAAGTCAAAAAGTCAAAAAAGATAAATTAACTAAAAAAAGTAAAAAACAGTCAAATAGTTGGATACATTTTTGTTTTTGTGTCCTAAATAGGGACAGATAAATAAATATTTTAGGACAACACATTTTAAAAATACAAATTAAAAAAATTTAAAAACTAAAGTGAAAAAGAGTAAAAAAAGTTAAAATATAAATTTTTGTTTTTGTATCCTAAATAAGAAAAGAGAAATACTTTAGGGCAACCCATTCTAAAATTAGAAATTAAAAAAAGTAATAATATTTGTTTTTATGTTTCTAAAAATATAAACAAAAAACAAGAAAAATTGTTCTAATTCTAAAATTAGAAATTAAGTAAAAAAATTAAGTAAAAGTAAAAAAACAGTCAAAAAGTTGGAAAGAGAAAATAAAAAAAAAGTTTTTGTTTTTGTGTCCTAAACAAGATTGGATAGAGAAATATTTTAGGACAACCCATTTTAAAAATTAAAATTAAAAAAAAGTTATAAAAAAGCAAAAAAAGTCAAAATAGAGAAACAATAACCAAAAAGTAAGTCAAATAGTTGGATAAATTCTAAATTTTGTTTTTATGTCCTAAATAGAAATGGGAACAACCCATTCTAAAAATACAAATTAAAAAAGTCAAAAGAGAATCAATAACTAAAAAGTCAAAAAATCAATTAAATTGTACATTTTTGTTTTTGTGTCCTAAATAAGGATAAATAGAGAAATATTTGAAGACAATAGAGTCAATCCAAATGAAAACACCAAAAATGAATTTAAAAGTGCGCTGCATGATTTTTTATTGTAATGAAAAAATTTGAGAATGATCTTTTAGGTGTCAAATATGAAAATCCGTTGCCGTTTTAATTTTTTGTTGCTTTACTTTTATTTGGCACCCCTTAGAAGTCTGAAATAGTGTCAATTTCTTACTCTCTTATAGTGGGCCAGAACTTTTTTCCTGTGACAAATATTGAAATAATTTTAATTTTGTTTTACTGTTCAGTAAGTGTGTTTTCGATATAAATTATTTTTATCCAATTAGTTAATCTCATAAAAGAATGGTAAACCACTAAAGATTCATGATAATTTGCCAATTTTTGTGATTTTTGTCTGGCTCCTGTGCCTATTCTACTGAATTTAGAAGGTTCATTTTTTTCAGGTATAAAGTACTTATACAATAGAAAACGTAACTATTATTTTAAGTTTCTAGACTATCAATTTCTTTATTAAAAAAATTATTGAAAATTGATAATTCTCAAAATTAGCCAATTTTACCCTCAGAAATCATTATGTTGAGGAAAAAATAAAAATCTGAAACTTTCAGGAAATGTAGTCCCCACCTTCATCTTTTCAGTCCAGTTAGTCTTGTTTTGTTATTTTTATTCCTTTAAAAGATATATTAATTTTTTTAATGCCCGTTTAGTAGCGATATTGTTAGTTTTATTTATAATTTAAAATTTAGATGGCTTTGACTTTGTCAATTCATGTTTGGAAGAGGAATGTCAGAGCTGTCAAAAATATTTCATAAATTTTATTTGTGTGTATTTAAATTGTGATTTCAAAAATTTTGCAAGTTTTCAAGTGTAATAAATGACGGAGTGTTCGAGATTCATGAATTTAATTGCAATTAAAAATGCAAGAACATATCATAATTTTGTACCTCTTTCTTACAGAAAATATTTAAGTTCTGAGAAGTTTTAAATTGTTAAAAATAAGCAAAAACCAAAAAATATTCTAAATAAACCCCTTTATTATAACATGTTTTATTTTAACCAGTTACCTAAAAACTAAAATTTAAAGAAGTATTTACAGATCGTGTAAATTTTTTCCAACACTAACATTTAAAATACATACATTTAACTTTTAACTATTTAGTGCCTTACTAAAGGGATCAAAATAATAGAACAAGACTAACTTGGTTTAAATTGTGAAAGAAACCGACAAAATACTGCTTAACGCATTTTTTATACGTTTAAATTAACTCTTTATTAATTTCACTTATTATACTTAACGATATAAACCATAAGGATCTTAAATATATTTTTTACATTCTTCTTCTTTAAACACCAATTAGCCAATTAAATACTTCATTATAATGTATATAATATATAGGTAATCATATACATATATATATATATATATATATATGATTTTTCAATACATAAAATATAACATAACTACCAAAAATATCATAACTCTCAAAAATATTTCATAATTATTATTTGTGGTATTCCTTTGGTGATTTAAAAAGTTTTATATATAACATAATATTACATATTATGTTATATACAAAATTTACCAAAGAAATACGCACAAATAATATTTATGAAATATTTTTGACAGTTCTGACACTTCTCCACCAAACATGAAAGCCATCTAAATTTTAAATTATAAATAAAACTAACAATATCGCTACTAAACGGCCATTAAAAAAATTAATATATCTTTTAAAGGAATAAAAATAACAAAACAAGACTAACTGGACTGAAAAGGTGAAGGTGGAGACTACATTTCCTGAAAGTTTCAGATTTTTATTTTTTCCTCAACATAATGATTTCTGAGGGCAAAATTGGCTAATTTTGAGAATTATCAATTTTCAATAATTTTTTTAATAAAGAAATTGATAGTCTAGAAACTTAAAATAATAGTTACGTTTTCTATTGTATAAGTACTTTATACCTGAAAAAAATGAACCTTCTAAATTCAGTAGAATAGGCACAGGAGCCAGACAAAAATCACAAAAATTGTCAAATTATCATGAATCTTTAGTGGTTTACCATTCTTTTATGAGATTAACTAATTGGATAAAAATAATTTATATCGAAAACACACTTACTGAACAGTAAAACAAAATTAAAATTATTTCAATATTTGTCACAGAAAAAAAGTTCTGGCCCACTATAAGAGAGTAAGAAATTGACACTATTTCAGACTTCTAAGGGGTGCCAAATAAAAGTAAAGCAACAAAAAATTAAAACGGCAACGGATTTTCATATTTGACACCTAAAAGATGATCCTCAAATTTTTTCATCAAAATAAAAAATCACGCAGCGCACCCCATTTGGTGTTTTTATTTGGAATGACTCAATAGTCAAATAGTTGGATAATTTATGAATTTTGGTGTTAAGAAAATAAGTAAAAAAACAAGAATAATAGAAAGGAAAATAATAAAGAGAAGATAATAAAAAGTTTTTGTTTTTGTGTCCTTAACATATTTTAGGACAACCCATTCTAAAAATATAAATTAAAAAATTATAAAGAAAACAAAAAAACAAGAACAGTGAAAGAAGAATAAATATTATATTATTATAGTAAGGATAGATAGAAACATATTTTAGTTATACCCATTCTAAAAAAAAATTACAATATGATTGAATTGTATCATCTTATTATATGTCGTAAGGTTATATCAGTGGCAAAGCGTGCGGGTAGATAATGTATACCCAAAACAATTTAAAAAAAAGCCCACTTTCATTGCGATGAACCAAAAAGAAATGTTTGAAATAAATACCACGCTTCGCCACTGCCCCTTCCACAATCTTTCGACTCACCTGATAGTGTTGTTCGGTGTCGATGGTTCCGACCACGGCCACGATCTGATACTGGCGCGCCTTCATGGCCGCCTCGCTCTTGCGCAAGAGTCGGAGCGCCGCGGCGGAGCTCTGCGTGTCCCCGAACTGAGCCATTTGCTGCGGCGAATGGCTCGGGTCGAGCACCAACAGCATCAAGCTGCCGTCGCGGTGCACTTCGACGCCCATGATGGTGCGACTGTGACCTGAAATTAGCCAACATTTGCAAAACCTGTTTTAAGAATGGTTAAATAAAAAAACGCATGGTTTTAAGAATATTTAGCTAAAAAACAAGGTTTTAAGAATGCTAAAATGGAGGAACGCATGATTTTAAGGATGATAAACCAGAAAAACAAAGTTTTAAGAAAGTTAAAATGGAAGAAATCCTGGTTTAACATTAACAATGTTAAACAAGGTTTATAGAATGATAAACCATAAAAAACGTAGACTGTAAATCCATAAAAACAAGGTTTTAGAATGTTAAACAAGAAAAACGCATGATTTTAAGAATGTTAAACACTATTTAAAGAATGGAAAATGTTTAAATGAAGAACGCATGGGTTTTAAGAATTTTTAACAATAAAAAACAAGAATGATCAAACATAAATCAACGTTTTAAGGATGTTAAAATGGAAGAACGCATGGTTTTAAAAATGTTAAACTACCAAAAACAAGGTTTAATGTTAAACCATAAAAACAGGGTTTTAGAATGTTAAACAAGAAAAACGCATGGTTTTAAGAATGTTAAACACTATTTAAAGAATGGTAAACCATAAGACAAGATTTTAACAATGTTAAAAAGGAAGAACGCATGAGTTTTAAGAATGTTAAACTATGAAAAAAACAAGGTTTAAAAAATGATAAACCATAAATCATGGTTTTAAAAATACCAAAAACAAGGTTTAATGTTAAACTATAAAAACAAGGTTTAAATAATGTTAAACTATATAAACAGGGTTTTAGAATGTTAAACAAGAAAAACGAATGGTTTAAAGAATGCCAAACGCTATTTAAAGAATGGTAAACCATAGGACAAGAATTTTAAAAAGAAATAACGAATTGGTTTTAAGAATGTAAAACAAGGTTTAAAGAGTAATAAGGATGTTAAAATGGAAGAACGCATGATTTTAAAAATGCTAAACCACCAAAAACAAGGTTTAATGTAAACCATAAAAACAATGTTTAAATACTGTTAAACCATAAAATCAGGGTTTAAAAATGTTAAACAAGAAAAACGCATGGTTTTAAGAATGTTAAACACTATATAAACCATAAGACAAGATTTTAACAATGTTAAAAAGGAAGAACGCATGGGTTTTAAGAATGTTAAACTACCAAAAACAAGGTTTAATGTTAAACCATAAAACAGGGTTTAAGATTGTTAAACAAGAAAAACGCATGGTTTTAAGAATGTTAAATAATATTTAAAGAATGGCAAACCATAAAAAGAAGGTTTAAAGAATGGTAAACCATAAAACAGGGTTTAAGATTGTTAAACAAGAAAAACGCATGGTTTTAAGAATTTTAAATAATATTTAAAGAATGGTAAACCATAAGAAAAGATTTTAAGAATGTTAAGAAGAAAAAACGCATAGGTTTTAAGAATGTTAAACTATAAAAGTTTAAAGAATGATAAACTATAAATCAAGGTTTTAAGGATGTTAAAATAAAAAACCCATGATTTAGAAAATGTTAAAGTACTAAAAACCAGGTTTAATGTTGAACTATAAAAACAAGGTTTAAATACTGTTAAACCATGAAACAGGGTTTTAGAATGTTAAACAAGCAAAACAGCATTTAAAGAATGGTAAACCATAAGACAAGATTTTAAGAATGTTAAAAAGAAAGAACCCATGCGGGGTTTTAAAAATGTTAAACTATACAAAAAAGTTTTAAAGAATGATAGACCATAAAAACAAGATTTAAAGCCTGTTAAACCATAAAAACAAGGTTTTAGAATGTTAAACAAGGCATGGTTTTATGAATATTAAACTATAAAAAACAAGGTTTAAAGAATGATTAACCATAAAAAACAAGGTTTAAAGTTAAAACATACAAAACAGGTTTTGGAATGTTAAAAAAGAACCATGCGTTTTAAGAATGTTAAAATGGAAGAACACATGGTCTTAAGAATGTTTAACAAAGTTTAAGTAATGATAAAACATAACAAAGGTTTAAAATTAAACCATAAAAACAAGGTCTATAAAAAAACAAGGTTTAAAGAATGATAAACCATAAAAACAAGGTCTATAAAAAAACAAGGTTTAAAGAATGATAAACCACAAATCAAGGTTTTAAGAGTGTTAAGATGGGTTTAAGAATGTTAATTAAAAAACACAGTTGTTCAAAGTTTATAGTGCTGAAAAAAACCACAAGGGTCGGGGTAAAAATGCTTAAAATCCTACCTTGATGTTGAAGATAGAGCGGCGGCGTGAACTCGCCGCCCACCCCGCTCTCGAAGTACTTGAGCACCCAGTTGAAGAGTTCGGGATGCGCGCCGCCCGGACCCGTGGGCCTGTGAAAGTCGATCAGCTGACATCGGATGCGCAAAAACGACAGCAGCGTCACCACTTCCGTCGCCCCAATCCACTTGCGCGTGTTCACCAGCCGGCAGCCCAGCTGCTCGGAACCCTGGAAGAAAGTGCTTTTCGTACCGAATGGCCACGCTCGAGGACTTTTGCTTACCTGTATGTCGAAGCCGGCGGCCCAGGCCTGCTCGACGAGGCTCTGGAGGCGCGATATGCTGGGCACCGAGCTGCGCGGCGGCTTCTGGCCCTGCCACAGCTTGTAGAGGCGCTCGTTGTGGCCGGTGTGCGTCAGCAGGCTCGAAACGAGCATCTGCGTGTTGCGGTAGCCGCAGCCCCAGCCTCGGTCGCCGTACGAGGACGCGTAGTGGTCGACGCACGTGCACAGCAGCGTCGAGGTCACGTTGGCGGCGCTGCTGCTCATTGCTCGTACGCGAGGCACCTCGACAAAATCTTATCATCAATTTGTTGTGGTGTAAAATGAGAGATTTGAAGTTTCTCGAGGTAAAAAGTAAAAAAAGTTGCCATAAAATAGTATATTATGTATCAAGTTTGATAAACGCCATTCTATACACGAATTTAATTTAGGCACGAGCGAGCTTGCGAGCGAGTTCTTAAATTAATGAGTGTATAGAAAAGTTTATAAACGAGGTGCATAATAGGTATACTTTTTCTACGACAAATACTATCTTATTATCTTAAAATTATTTTAATCAAATATTTTTATAGCGCCATCTATGAAACAATAGGGGAATCTGTGTGTCACCGTCAAATGTCAAATTTTTATATTTTATAAACACAGATTATAAAGGTTATAAATTGAAATGTATTTCTTGAAAATGGACAGTTTTTTACAGTGAAAGTAAAGAAAATGTTTTATGAGCACTTTACAGTGGAGTCCGTGTCCGAATTTAAGTTATAGTTTACTGCCGGCAAAATTAAAAGGTCAGTACAATGTTCATATAAACTTTTCAAATATTGGCGTTGAGAAACTATTTAATACTTTTGTATTTTTGTATTGAGATAATAAAATAATTTTCACATTTAGTGTTATTTTACAAGAAAGGCACTTTATTTTAACGATTGTATGACATTTGACAACTGTCAACTAACTTAAAACTAACTTCAGCCCGTGACTAAAACGCAGTAAAGCCACAACTTGTCAATGTGTATTTAAGAGGTCACTTAGTGTCATGGAAACATGTACGATAATGGTCGTTTTAAAGGTGGGAGTAGAAAAACAAAGTTTTAAGAATGTTAAAATGAAAGAACACATGTTAAACCATAAACAAACAAGGTTTAAAGACTGTTAAACAATAAAAACAAGGTTTAACAATGTTAAACCATAAAAACAAGCTTTAGAGAATATTAAATAATACAAAAACATAAAAAATACCAATGTTTTTTTTTGTGTTTTTGGAACATTGACTACTTATGGCCATTGGCTTTTTTATCCTGGCCCTGGGTTTGAACCCAGGACCTTAGGCCAAAAGTTTACCCACTGAGCTACCCTAGTAGGTTTTAAGAATGTTAAAATGGAAGAACGCATGTTTTGTAAAATTTAAAAAAACAAGGTTTAAAGATTGTTAAAATGAAAGAACGCCTGGTTTTAAGAATATTGCAAAATTTACTGTAATGAGATATTTAAAGAATGTTAAACAATATTTTAAGAATGGTTAAATAGAAGAATGGTTTTAAAAATGGTAAACAAGGTTTTTTAGAATTTAAAATGGAGGAAGGATTGATTTTAAGAATGATAAACCATAAAAAATAAGGTTTTAGAATGTTAAACAATGCATGGTTTTAAGAATATTAAAGTATAAAAAACAAGGTTTAAATAAAGATTAACCATACAAAAAAGGTTTAAAGTTAAACCATAAAAACAGGTTTTAGAATGTTACCAGAAACATGCGTTTTAAGAATGTTAAAAAGGAATGGTCTTAAGAATGTTAACCTAGTTAGCAAAGTAAACCATAAGAAGGGTTTAAAATTAAACCATAAAAACAAGGTCTTAAAAATGTCAAACTAAAAAAAATAAGGTTTAAAGAATGATAAACCATAAAAAGCCTTAAAATTAAACCACAAAAACAAGATTTAAAGAATATTAAAATGGGAGAACCATAATAACAAGGTTTTAAGACTGATAATGGCTTAAGCCATAAAAACAAGGTTTTAAATTGTTAAACAAGAACGCATGGTTTAAACAACGTTAAACCATAAAAACAAGGCTTTAAGAATATTTAAACGATAGAACGCATGGTATTAACAATAATAAATCATAAAAAAACAAGGTTTAAAGAATGATAAACCATAAAAACTAGGTTTAAACTTTAAAGTTAAACCATAAAAGCAAGGTTTAAAGACTGATAAACCATAAAACAAGGTTATAGAATGTTAAACAAGATTGCAATGAGTTCAAGGCATGGTTTTAAGAATGTTAAACAAGAACTGGTTTTAAGAATGTTAAGAAAATCGCGAACAATGATAACCTTAAAGACAAGGTTTAAAGTCCCGTAAAAGCAAAGTTTTATAATGTTAAACAGAAAGAAAGCATGATTTTAAGAATGTTAAACCATAAAAAAAGTTTAAAGAATGTTAAACGATATGGAGCATCGACTAGCTTTTTTAATTTTGACCTGGGGTTTAAACCAAGGACCTTATATTAGGACATTATATTAGGATTGTAAGGTGATGATAAACCATAAAAGGTTTAACTACCATAAAAACAAAGTTTTAAGAATGTTAAAATGGAATAAAACTATATAAACAAGGTTTTAAGTTAAGCCATAAAACAAGGTCATAAAACCAAGGTTGTATAATGTTACACAGGAATAAATTATGAATGTTAAACCATAAAAACAAGTTTTTTTTCAATCTTGGCCCGGGGTTTGAACCAGGGACCTTAGTTTAAGATTGTAAGGTCGAAAGTTTAGCCACTGAATGTTAAACAAGAAGAACACATGGTTTAAAAAATTTCAATTAAAAAAAAACAAGGTTTAAACTACCATAAAAATAAGGTTTTAAGAATGTTAAAATGGAATAACGTAAGGTAAAAAATGATAAACTATATAAACAAGGTTTAAAGTTAAACCATTAAACAAGGTCATAAAAACAAGGTGAAAAATGATAAACTATATAAACAAGGTTTAAAGTTAAACCATAAAACAAGGTTAAACAATAAAAACAAGGAATGTTAAACAATAATAACAAGTCACAAATCTTGGCCCAGGGTTTGAACCAGGGACCTTATATTAGAATTGTAAGGTCGAAAGTTTAGCAACTGAATGTTAAACAAGAATAACACATGGTTTAAAAAATTTCAATTAAAAAAAAACAAGGTTTAAAGGGAGACATATTTTAGGACAACCCATTAGAATTACATGTTGCAACAAAAAAAGCTTGATAATAGGAAAGCCTAATTGGTTAGTATTGCAGTTTTTTTACAATTTCGGGTGGTGACGTAAAATTCCAAAGCAAATTTTTATACTTACAATGCTCCTGGTGACCGAGCTGCCGTCGTCGACGCCGTTGCTCTCGGCCGCCCTGAGATCGAGCGTGCGCTCGTAGTAGTCGGCGACGCTCATCTCGCCCGCGTACACCGCCCGCTGCATGTTGGCTGCGCTCTGCTCGCGAAAGTTGCCCTGATCGTCCATGCCGTACTGCGCGCGCAGCATCTCGAACTCGCGAGCCTCGCGCTCCTTCAGAGCCGCGCGCCGTTCTGCGCCAGGCTGCTGCTGCTGCTGCGGCGAGGCGGCCTGGAAGTGCGACTCGACGTGGCGCGCCGCCGCTTCACTCTGAATGTACAACAAAACAAGGTATCAAGATACTAATTTAGCGAAAACAACGTCACTCGTTGAGCTATTTCTAAATCGGTAAGATTGACGTAACGTGCGTTTTACTTATCTAGTGTTAAACTTTTGGTTTTTGCGTTGTTGTTCGTTGTTTTTTTGTTAAACATTTTGTTTTTGATTTGAATTACTTTTCAGTGTTTAAATTATTGTGATTGCGTTGTGTTAACCTGTTCTGTTTGTGCTGAACTTGTTGCGTTAACTTGTTTTGTTTGTGTTGCACTAATTAAAATGCCATTTTTGAATGCAATTCATTTTGTTAATTAATAATAAAATGGAAAAAAAGTTTATAAAAAAAAACGCAATACAAATAAAAAGAGAAAAGCTAATAGTTGAAATTTTAATATTGTGACTTGGATCGTTTTTTACATGTGATCTTTAAATTATTCGACAATTTAATATAAAAATCGAATAATTTTATAGAAATTTGGATGAATTTCATAAGATAATAATATTTTAATTTAAAATATGGGTGATTCTACAAAAGTTGGGCAACTTGATGTCATCAGTCAATAGAGTAGGTATTTTAATATTTTAATTTTAGTATATTACAAAAGATCCAGGTTTTTTTAACTTGTCCACCCAATTGTAATGTATTTTTTCAAAAGCACGTTTGTAGAAAAATATAATAAATATTCAAAACATCAGTACCTTGGCGTGTCACAACTCCTGAATCAGATATTTGAGTGATTTTATTTTATTTTATTCAATTTATCTTAAATTTTTCAATTTCACTACAAACTATAAAACATTAAATAATGCATTTTTCATATTTTATCATAGATTCGAATAATAGCAATTTTTAAAAAATTGATAATCTTTGTACTCACTTTTACCAAATGTTAAAATTCAAAATTCCTGCGAAATATTGAAGTTTAAACGTCAAGTCCGCGTTTTAACTCAAGTGTTGGTAAAAAATTACCTACAGAGCCCGCCCTTTGCACGGCAGTCATCTTGAAAACAATGCAAGCGGCGAAGTTGTGGTGAATGCACGTATAGTTCCAGTCAAAATTTCAGTACTGTGGTGAGTAGTTATTTTCTTACGTATATATATTTTATTGTAATTTATATAAAGCTATATGTGATTTGTTGATAAGTAGCATCCACTAATAAAAAATATCAGTAAAATACTTAGTTCCGAATTATAATCTCAAATTTGAATCCCATTCATCAGTACCGTGTCGTCAGTTCCATGTTCGATGTTTCGACAGAGGACTGACGTATTACCATGGTACTGATGATTTTTATCTCATAACCTTTTCATCACAAATATTGTACTAGGTAAACATTTATTTTATTTATTTTAGATCAAAAGACCATGGCGCTGGTTAATAAAAAGCAAAAATTGTCAAAAGAAGAAATATTGAAAATAATAAGGTGAAAAGACTCGTTTAAGTAAAATTAAAAATTACCCTATTAAATTAGCAAAATATAAAGAAAAAGAAAGATTGAGGTACTTTAAAAAAAGAAAAAAGGACAGGAGGCAATTTATTATTTACCATAGTTTATCGACAAATTTCAAATTTCATTTAAAAAATCCAAATTATACAGATTTTATACCATTTTAAATATTTAATATTTCCTTTCAAAGAAATAATAAAACTTTAATATGATATAAAATCTGTATGATTTGGATTTTTTAAATATAATTTGAAATTTGTCGATAAACTATGGTAAATAATAAATTGTACCAATTAAACTTATATTATATTTATTGAGGGCCCCATTGAGCCGGTACGGCCGAGCAAAAGGTTATCTTTTTTCGCAAACTTCAATTTAAATTCGGCTTGCGCAGAACTTGTTTATTTAATGTCATTATAAACTCTTATAAATTTGGTGTTGGTCCCATATCTAATAATTGGTATTCCCAAAACCCACCAGCCGCCAGTGGTTCTTACGCGTCTGTTTTCACCACTCCGTTTTGTAAGTGTAAAAAATGTCCACCTGCCAAGTGAAAATCTCTAAATCAATACCAAAAGAAAAAAACTAAAAATCCAATACATTTCGTTAGTATGGGCTTGAAAAAATTGATAATAAGTAGTTTTTTAGTGGTATTTTCCTTTTGTATACACAGATTATCTTTGACAGAAATATAAATAAAAAAATAATTTAAGTTTATATTTTTGTTTGTTTTGTAGCTTGTATTTCTTCCATTTACTTCGAAGATAGTTGCTTTAAGAAAGAAAATTGGATAAAAAAACAAACTACAATCCCATAAAAAGTCTTTAAAAGTGGATACTGTTCCAACTTTGAAAGAAATTAAAATAAAATTGGAAAAACCTATAAATCATAGTTCTTTTTACAGTGTACAAGAAATAGGACAAAACCAGAAGCATATGATCTTTGAAGACAGCCCATAACAGAAACTCAAGTACTGCAGTGCAAGAAATTAAAATCAAATTTGAAAAACAAAATTAATCAAAATTAAATCTATCTTTTTAGATTGTGCAGGAAATGTGCCAAGACAAGGAAGCTGATGATCTTCAAAGACAGTCTATAGCAGAAACTCAAACTGCAGCATGCTGCTGATAATGAAATGGCCCGGGATTAAAACATCCCAAAAGCATTAGAAGCTTATCCCTATTAAAAATGCCATATAGAAACACAAAATAAAAATCTTTCTGGTTCAATATAGGAATTTGAAACAGGCATTGCCCTATTGAACCAGATAGAATTCCATACCTGGAAAACCATATAGAAAAGTGATTTCTATATGGATTGCCATATAGGTTCATATTGCTGTATCTGGCCCAATATGGTTTGGGTGTGAAAAAATTATTACCATATAGATCCATAGAAGAGGAATCTATATGGTTTAATATGCAATTTTCGTTTAAATATATATACATTTTAAAATGGAATTCCATATTCAACCATATAGGGAAACCAGAAACAGAAAAACAGAAACCAGATAAATCCATATAAAAATAAATAAAGTTGTACATTTTAAAATGAAATTCCATATTAAACCATATAGATTCCAAAGTGTAAACCAGGTCGTTCCATATAGGACCATATAAATCCATATTAGTTTCCTTATCTGGATCAATATGGGTTCTATAGGGCATTTTTAATAGGGATACCATACCAGCTTATACCATACCATAATATAACATTTTTCACAAGTTTAGTTTGTTTTTAACAAATAAATTTAGAAAAAATATGTTTACATTTTTCTTGCAATGTTAATGTTCCCTATTAAAAATGCCATATAGAAACACAAAATAAAAATCTATAAGGTTCTATCTGGTTCAACATAGGAATTTGAAACAGGCATTGCACTATTGAACCAGAATTCCATACATGGAAAACCATATAGAAAAGTGATTTCTATATGGATTGCCATATAGGTTCATATTGCTCTATCTGGCCCAATATGGTTTGGGTGTGAAAAAATCATTACCATATAGATCCATATTTAACCATATAGGGTAATCTATATGGTTTAATATGCAATTTTCGTTTAAATATACATTATAAAAAGGAATTCCATATTCAACCATATAGGGAAACCTATATGGAAAGACACATAAAACAGAAACCAGATAAATCCATATAAAAATCACTAAGTTGTACATTTTAAAATGAAATTCCATATTAAATCATATAGATTCCAAAGTGTAAACCAGGTCGTTCTATATAGGACATATAGAACCATATAAATCCATATTAGTTTCCTTATCTGGATCAATATGGGTTCTATAGGGCACTTTTCATTTAATTTTTTATATTTGCTTTAAAACAGGATATTTTATTTGGTATTTAGTTAATATTATTTTCTTGAAATGTTAATATTGTGACTTAAATCGTTTTTTACTTGTGATCTTAAAGTTATTCGTCAATTAAATCTAAAAATCGAATAATTTTATAGAAATTTGGATGAATTTCATAAGAGAACAATATTTAAATTAAAAATATCGTTTAAATTCAAAGGCGGGAACGAACTAAGATGGCGGTAACTGGGTGGTGCGCAAAGTGGACCGAAATGCGTCCTACTGAAAAACATACTCACGTTGGCATCGCTGTCGAGGTGGACGCCGCACACGGGGCAGGAGGAGGTCTTCTGCGGCGGAGAGGCCGGGCTCAGCACGTCCCTGTGTTCGATGTTGACGTGCAGCTCGAGGTCGGGCGCCGATTCGAACGACTTGACGCACAGCGGGCAGGCGAACACCTCGGCGGCGGCGGCGGCGTCCTCGTCGCCGCCCAGCGACGGCGACGTCAAGTCGAAATGCGACCTGAAATTTCGGGACTCGACAAATTTCGACCGCACAAAATGTGACACGAGAAATATTATTATTGCGTTGTGACGTTGTCGCCAAGGCGCGACAACAAAATAAACAAAATTTTCGCTGTTGTGTATTCTGGTGGGTGACCAGTTGTCGCTTTATAGAAAACAACACGATCTTAAAGTATTTTGGCCTGCTAAACTCGAAAATCACCAAACAATTTTTTAAGTTTTCGAGATACGATTTTTTCATTTGTGTGACGATAATTTTACGTTTTCGCGAAAAACGCTATAAAAAATTTCTGCCACAAAAATTCATAACTTCTAGTTATTAAACACAGTAAATGAATTACAACAATAACGCAATTTATTTCCAATTTTCAACAATTTTTATTTCAGTAAATGCTCAAAATAACCTCCGTTCTCTTCTACACATCTCTTAACGCGATTTTCATAGATCTTCTAACCTTTTCGAAAAATCCAGGTTTATTTTTTATGGATTCACAAGCATTTACAACCCGCGGCATTAATTCCTTAACGTTATCAATTGGGATTGCATGCACCAATGATTTTAAATATTCCCACACACAGAAGTATGTTTCACCGTTCAGTCGATTTGGTAAAACGTGAGGACCTATCAAGAAATCGCCAATTATTCCTGCCCAAACGTTGATAGAAAATCTTTGCTGGTGACTTGAATCAATCAAGGTATGCGAATTTTTATCAGCCCATGCATGACTGTTATGAAAATTAATAATTCCATCCCTATTGGATCCGCCGTCATTGGTAAAAATATTATAGGCTTTAAAGCTTGCGTTCTCTGTAAATGATAGGGATATAGCAGTTGTTCGAGCATTATTTCCCAAACTGTACCTTTTAGAACGTCCTCTTGCATAGCAATTCTTCTAGTGCTTGTCCTTGTATCAGCAGCAACTAATTCCAGGACAGTTTCTTTGTTTTCCAATGTTCAAGTTGTTCGATTTCCCCCGCAATCACCTTTGTTTACTTTAAAAGTGCCAGTTTCACAGTCTTTGATGTAAACTGGTAAACGTCTATTCACATAAAGACGGGTATGCCCGGGAATGCTTCTTGGTACAATCTTCGAGCATCGCGACTATTACCATTGGCCTTACGTACATAAAATGCATGTTGACCATTTTTGTTAGAAATTACAGGTTGTTCCAATATATGTTATGAAAAACGATTTGACAAATGTCACCACTGACAAAATAACGATATATTTGCAAAGCAAGCTAACTTGATGTTTTTTTATTGCCTACTACATAATTCGCTTGATATTTTTTAGTGGCGAGACATTTTTAATATCGTTTTTCTCGAAAACGGTTGGCTCAATGACAAGTGCATCTTTTTTACGAACTAACCGTTTCTGAAATCTATCTATATATATAAAAATTAATCGTCGTGCGTTAGTCCTTCAAAAGACTCGGAAATGGCTCAACCGATTTAAATATTTTTTTGTTTTGTTTGCCTCAATACAGGGGTTATTTAAATAAAAATACATTAGGAAAAACGAAAGAAACAGCCAGAAAAACGAAATTCGTACAACTTTGAATTAATTTGAATAGATATCCATATGGCGTTCGTAGATGAGCTTTAAATTAAATAACTCGGAAATGCTCAACCGATTTAAATAAAAAAAATTTGTTCATCTCAATACAGGGGTAATTTAAATAAAAAAATACATTAGCAAAAACCGAAGGGAACAGCCGGACAATCGAAAAAATTTAAACTCGTACAACTTTGGATTAATTTGAATAAAAAATCAATCATTCAGCAGTAAGTTTCATTTTATTTTCGGGTATGTTGGCATTACTAACAAGGTTTATTTAAGAATAGCGCCGCAAACCTGCGCAGGAGGAATTAAAATTAGTATCATTTTTTAAGAAGATAAAAGTTGCCCATCTCTTAATGTTAACTTAATGTTAATGTGTTGCATAAAAGCATCCAATGCATTACGTTCATTTAACTTCATAATGACAATGTTAATCTTAATGTTAACTTAATGTTAATTTGTGCTGCATAAATCCAGCATTAAACTCGGAAATTGCTCAACCGATTTAAATATTTTTTTGTTTTGTTTGCCTTAATACAGGGATGATTTAAATAAAAAATACATTAGGAAAAATACAGCCGGAAAATTAAAATTTGTACAACTTTGGATTAATTTGAATAGATGGCGTTCGTAGCTGCGCTTCAAATTAAATGAAAAAACATAACCACAAATTCGTTCATTCAATTGTTTTAGCAATAAATTAGTTTAAATCACAGGTCTGTGGTTTAAATAGTAAAATTCTCAAGGGAAGTTTGACAGATTTAAGCGACTGTTAAAACAATTCCGTGTCCTTTTTCAGTGTTCAATGAATTGGAGTTGAAAGGTTCATAAGAATTGATAATTGCTTATAAAGAATTTTAGGTGGAACGAAGTTCACCGGGTCATCTAGTAATTAATAAAAACCTGATTGTGCGAAGTTCTTTAAAATACCTAGCAAACTTTTTCTTTTTATTTTTACGTGTAGAATTACCTACCCCCAAAATATATTAACGTTATTTCTGGATTAAAAAGTATAAAACAAAACTCAAATTCCTTTGTTTCTGTTTTACTTCCCTTCGTTTCTGATAATTAATTGATGCGTATGAAAGCCTCAGCTTAACTGAAGAAATAGCCCCCCCCCGAGCCCCCCCCCACAACATTTTATCACTGACCACTCACTTATAATTTAAAATTTTAAAATAGAAAAACTAATTGTTTTTAAGTCCATTGTATAGATATAAATCGTTAAAAAATCACTAGAAATCCAGAAAATTCTTAGAAATTCTCGGAAAACTTTATTTATTTTTCAGAATTTCTTTTTGAAAACGATTGAATTTTCATTACATTGATTGATATATATATATATATTGTAACCAAAATTAATGGTACATGGATTTCGGACACTCAGTGGTTAAGAGGAGAGCTGGGTTCGTGGATTATATTTTTACTAGAGGTTGAGAAAATTAAGATAAGTTGGGCACCAATTGTTTTTATTGAAAATAGTAGAGAAAAAAAAACAATAAAAAATAATACCAGTTCCAAATTTCGTCTGGCGTCGATGGTGTTCGTTCTTGGTTTTTTTTTTCTGATGGTGTTCTTTCTTGGTTTATTTTTCTGATGGTGTTCTTTATTCCAGAATTCTTTCTTGAACGGTTCTTTTTTCTTGGAAGGGCTGCTCCTGGTGAAGTCGGCGTAAGTATTCTTGCGACAGGAAACAGGCCACGTGAATTTGTAGAGAAACTTGTTTCTTCCCAGATTTTTCCAGTTGGAAACTTTTGTTGCAGACAGCAACCGTAATTGAAGTAGGATCGAAGTAGGATGTACAAAGTACACGGCAAAACCGTAATGGTACAAAAAAATGGAGAAAATGGATATACCAAAAAAAGGAAAGTATATACCAAAAATGCATATACCGAAAAAGCATATACCGAAAAAGCCCTATGGGAGGAAAATAAAATAAATATTTGCCTTCAAAATAAATTAAAATAAACTTACAGATTTTTTCCGGCAATACAAAACTCACTTTTAATTAATTTGAAAGTGAAACTCAAAAACTTATAAGCAGGTAGATACGCAAGACGCAATGCATCGAACATAAATCCGTGATTTTAAATCCACACGTGCATCGAAGAATTCGGTGTGCGTAACAAAAAATTACTAATTATAAACCGCGCCAAATATTTAAATTAATTAGAAATATAAGTATACCTTTAATATTTAATTTGATCAGGAGGATTTTGAAGACTGACTTCCCATTTAAATAAAACAATTGGATTTTAGAATAAGTTCAAAAATAAATGGATATTGATATAGTCAAAAGTTAACAAAATAACTTTTATAAAAACTAAAAAAAAGGTAAGTATTGATAAATTATTTTCAGTTTAACCATATAAACGCCTCTTTATAATTTTAGTTTACTTTATGAATTCAAACAAAAATAAAAGGAAATTCCAAAAATAGGACAAAACATAAACAATTACTTTAAATTATTTATAACATAATATAGGCAACCCACATAACATTAATACATTTATTTAGTTTTTAAATAAAATACTTTTCAAGACTTAAACGTTGTATCATTAAAAATGAATTGTCGCATTAAGAAAAATTTAATGCTACAAATGCCCCTTAACAAACCAAAAAAATATGAGTGTAATGAAATATTTTTTTTTACATGTAAAATTAAAGTAAAATTATGCATAATTTTACTTTAATTTTCCGCGTCCATTGAAAAATCACCATAATACTGTTTCATATCTCTAACATGGTAATTTCCTGAATTTTTAGTATCAATATCTTGTAACTCGTAAACCAATTTTGACAATTTTTTGACGACTTTACACAAAACATATCTAGGAGATAATTTTGCGGAAAATTGCTTATTTTTATCTGATAATATGCGACTACGCTTCCATACTAAATCGCCCTCATTAAATTCCACGTCTCTTTTCCTTAAATTATAATATTTTTTTGAGCGTTCATACGCTTTATTTAATTTAGTTTGAACCTTATCAAAAATAATTTTTAATCTACTAACTTCGTCCGCGTAATTTTTTCTATCATTCAAACTGGGATTAATTGAACTTTTAAAATCTACTGGATTATAATAATCACCGCTTATGGGAATTTTTCTACCAAAAACTAAGAAGGTAGGAGCAAAATTTGTAACTTCATGTACACTATTGTTTAATGCATATTGTATTTTATTTAATTCTCGATCCCATTTATTATGTTCCTTACCTAAAATAAAACTACGAATACATGTCCCGATATTTCTATTTGCCCTCTCTACTTGGTTAAATTCTGGGAAATATCTAGCAGAATAAAATATTTTTGACCGATAAGATTTGACTAAATTTTTAAACCCGTTGCTGGTAAATACTGTTCCATTATCAGCTATAATTACAGATGGTACACCATATTTTAAGAATATTTCGTTTTCTACAAAATCTGCGATA